TTGGGGGGGGGGGGGGGGGTAAATATGGAACAACATATTCAATATATGGATGTTTTATTCTTTTAAAAATACGATTAAAACTATGATACTTGAGTAATACTAGTGCCTGACCAAAAAAAAAAATAATGGTAGTGAGGCTTAAAAAATTTGGTATAATTTATTAATTTATATAATAAAGTACAATACAATTTAAATTTTAAAAAATAAATAAAATAATTTTTGTTATTCGCAGTTAAAATTTTTTTTAATTTTATTTTAAAATTAATCTGACGGCTAATATTAAATCTCCAAATTCAATAAAAAAAAATAGATCTCTAAATATGTATTTAGATTGATTTTTTAAAAAATGTTTATAGAAATCATTTCTCATTAGTACTTTAAAAAAAAAAAAAGTGTTTAGAACTGCCCCACCACTGCCTTTACCACCACCATTGCTCAACTACCACCACCCCTATCTCTACCCCCCCCCCACCACCACCACCGTTGTCACCACCCTACCACCACCATCAGCACTACTATCGTCTAACCACCATTACCTTCTCCACCGCCCCCCCTTACCATCATCTCCATTATCCCACCATCGCCCCACCATTACCACCATCACCACCACCACTATACCACCATCAGTGCATCACCCCTACTACCCTCACCATCACCTCCACGACCATCACAATTACCACCACCATCACCAAACCACCACCGCCACCCCACCCTCACTGCCCCATCGTCACCACCATAATCATCGCCACTCACCACTGATTGCTATCACCGTCGTTCACTGACACCACCCACCACCGTCATCATCTTATTCTTATATTTATTATCGTTATCACCATCATCTCACTACCACCGTTACCCACCGTCAGCACTTGCCACTACCATTGTTGTCCATCGTCACCCACCACCCCTTGTCATCGACCACCATCGCCACCAATCACTGTCACCCACTCTCACCACACCTACCACCACCAACCATCATTGCCCACCACTGTAGCCACCCATTGCCATTTATCCTCACCACACTTACCATCGCCGTTATTCGCCACCACTCATCACACTGTCACCTAGAAGCATCCATCGTCACCCACTACCACCATTGTCACCTACCACCACCACTGCCAACTACTATCATTGTCATCCACCATAACTCATTCTCATCACAACTATCGCTGTCACCTATGGCTGCCACTACTATCATCGTTACTTCAAACCCACCACCACCATCAATGTTGTCACTCACGACTACCACCATAACCACGGTTGTCACCACCCACCACAATCATCATCGTCTCTCACCATCACCACTACGCCCACCACCACTAACTATGTTCACCCCATTACAATCGGTAATTGAATTTCTTTTATCTCTGCTTTATGTTTGTGATTTGATTTTGGGTGTGAAATGTAAATATAAATATGTTTATTGCTGACCATTTTTTTTATTACTCTGTGTCTTTAGGTACGGGAAATTACTAGTATAATAATATGTCACGTAATATATTCTCTATAAATAATTCAAATAATTTTAGTTATAATAATTCTATAGAGTTATAATTTTTTAGGTATAAATAAAATTAATCTATATTTAATCTTTCTCTCCTACTATTTAATCAATATATTATTGGTCTTTTTTTTTTCTCCTCTTTTTTATACACATCTTCTGAAAAATAAAATTATTGATTTCCAAAATGTTAACAATTTTTTATGCTTAAATTTTGCACATGTGGTCATGATTTCTAGTATCTCAATAACTCCAAACAAATATTATTGGAGGAAGATTACAATTACCTCATAGGAATGAGTATAAGTTAAACTCTGTCTCATTAATGGGTCTTAGTCCAATAGTGCTATTTGTCTTATTAAAGGTTTACCTTTTTGAGGTTAATAGCACCTAGAAATTTTATTAAACCTAAAAAAATAATAATAATAATAATAAAAAATATAAGTTAATCCCTGTCTTAGAGCAGTTCCTTGTTAAAAAAAAAAGGTTGAACTCAAATAAACCTATATGTAATTTCAACAATAAAAATGGCTACCTATATGTAACTTCAACAATAAAAATGGCACCTAGAAATTTTGTAATTACTAAATGCACCTATGCTCTTCTAGTTTCCTTTCTTCTAAACAGTCCACAACTAGAGAGCTTCCAAACTAAGAAAAATGGCAAGCCCATTGTCAACTGTCATAAAGCCCCCATCTCTCCTACAACCTCAACAATCAAAACTCTCTCATTTACTCTCAAATTTCCCAAAACCACCACAAACCCTTTCTTTCAATTCTACAAACGCAAACCCTAGGCTTTCCAGAATGGTAATCCCATCAGTCAGAGCTCAATCAACGAGCACTGATCTGGGTCTCTTACAAAAGGCAGTACAATTTGCCCAATCTTCGCCACCCACTTGGCAATCCGCTCTTCTCAGCAACCTTGTGATTTTCGTTGTGGGTTCTCCGATTCTGGTCGCTGGGTTGTCTCTCTCCGGCATTGGAGCGGCTTTCTTGCTTGGTACTCTTACTTGGCGGGCCTTTGGGCCATCTGGGTTTCTTCTTGTGGCCGCATATTTCGTTATCGTAAGTTGAAATCAAATATTTCTCTTCATACGTATGCAAATGGGTGCGTCCCCGTACATTTTGGTTTTGTGTATTAAGATTTTCGTATTCTTTCGACAGTTTAATTGGTAATGGATTGGTTGGGTTTCTACATAATGTCATTGTGAGGTTGACTCTAATCAACTTTACTTCTGTATTTTGTTTTTGTCTTTTTCAATTCCATGTGTACATGAGTTCGGAATTTTGTCCTTGAAACTAAATTGGTAACTGTTTCATTATTTTGCAATTGTTTTTGGTTTGATTTAAAACTTCTTATGTATGCCTATGTTTTTTAGAGACTTGATAGGTAAAGTAATTACCTTACTGTACTCTACCCTTCCGAGATGAAATTTTCGGTATAATTTTATGATTCCATTGCATTTTTCTTTTGGTTGATGCGAGTCCTTGAAGAAGATAAATTTAATAAGCTAAACCACAAAAAGACAAGGAGATAAACTTTTTAAGGAAAAAAGAGATTATGACCTAATGGGGTTTGGACTATTGATTTTTCGAATCTTGTGAGTATTGAATGTGGGATAAATCATTTCGGACCTATCAGGGCACCGCAGCAACAAAGTTGAAAATGGCTCAAAAGGAGGCTCAAGGTGTTGCTGAGAAAAAGAAAGGAAGGAGAGGACCGAGAAGTGTGATTGGTTCCAGTGCAGCTGGGTGTGTTTGTGCTTTTCTTTCCATTTATGGAATTGGAGGTGAGGCATTTTTGCGGCTCTGGCAACTTGCATTTGTTGCCAGTTTCTGTACAAAGTTAAGTGACACCATTTCGAGTGAGATAGGGAAGGCATATGGAAGAACGACGTAAGTGGTGCATCTGTTTTTATGCTCTTCCGTGTTTTTCATCTCACACCCATGTATATGTTGACACACACACACACATGTGCTCACACAGATAAAGGGAACACAACCAACACACATACACACCCTAAAATAAATGAAGCACAATGGATCTTGCTTCTGTAGGCATGGGGTCTTTTCAAGCGTTGACAGTGCTTTTGGTGATTTTTTATCCCAGCTATATTTATGAAGCTCGGAAAAAGCCAATTTGTGGATGTTCAGTTTCTTGCATCCTGTTATATTGTTCTTAGAACGTGAAGCGCAATGAACCTTTAATCATACTATGATTGCTACACTTAGTTATCAAGTTCAGGCATGCTGTTATATGGACTTAGTTGTAAATTTGATATGGCTTGTGATTGTTCAGCTTGAGATTTTTTTTTTTGGCCAACTGCTTCTGCTTCTTGATAGACTATGCTTAGTTTGTGAATGTTCTCCAGCTAAGTAAAGCCTGCATGATGTAGAAACAAGACAGCATCCAAATGTTGTGCTTTTACATCACATTAAATTTCTGTACTTCTAATGTAGGTACCTAGTCACAACATTTAAGGTGGTTCCAAGGGGAACAGAAGGGGCTGTGAGTGTTGAGGGAACCTTTGCTGGACTTTTAGCTTCAATTCTTCTTGCTTTTGTTGGTTGTCTAATTGGTGAGGTATGAAATGCTGTCTTTTCTTTTACCTTTTTAGTTCTTTCTTTCTATGGAAATATATTTCCGCTATACTCATGCTGTGCAGATCTTTTGCCTTCTTGTTTGGGTTTTTTTAGCTTTCGAAAGTCTACAATTTAATTACTGTTGACACTAGTTCAGATGGGAAAGACCCTTGGAGAGTTCTTTAAGATAGTTGGGCCTTGTGCAACAGTGAATAGTGGCTGCACTTAGAATGAGTGATATGGTTTGGGTGGAAGAAAGTTGGACTGAAGGAGGGGTTAATAGCTGATCCAAGGTAGTGAAATTGAGTGATTTTGTGTGTGTGTGTGTGTGTGTGTGTGTGAGAGAGAGAGAGAGAGAGAGAGCGACGATGGTGGTTACCACTGCCAAATAG